TAGTTCTTCAAGGACTATGGGCGAGTAGGTGGAAGGACTGAGGGCTCGCCAGGGTTTGCTTTTCTCAAACGCACAACGTAAACATTTACATATTACTTTGCGAAATCGATAGCACAGGGAGTAGAATTGAATCAAAATTGTCAAAAATTTCTAACCATCAGCATAGCACAGATTCAATTTTTAGAGGACTAGAAGGGAACAAAGAATAGCACTTTATAGTTTGAGAAAAAAAGGTGGATGCGTAACTTGAGAAATGTATTATTTATCAATCAAGACCTAACATCTTTCCGATTGGTGCAGTTACGGCTTGAATGAGCTGCAGGCATCGTGAGGGAGAAGATATGTTCATCTTCAACGTACTAGAAGAGACAAAGCATGGAAGTCCCGAAACAGTTCTTCTGCCGATAATGAACAGAAAATTGCATGCAAGGTTCGTGCTCTAAACTGTAGAATGGTGGGCAGTAAGTAATATAAGAGCCCTCTATACCTCAGAGTAAAAGAAAATACTTCGAATAAATGTTCGAGAATAGAATTCATGATTATGCGTTGCAAAGAGGTCTCCTTTGAAAATGCAACATACTTTAGTTCTTTTCTAAAGGATTGGGGAAATTTTATAGGGGAAATCGATGGTAAATTCGCACTTTCAAATTCGTCACAACCATATTTCTGAAGGAATGGCGGACGAAATACAAGAAAGCATAAAACACATGCACTGCATTACCTACTTCATGATATAAATGAGAAGCAGTATGATGTGGCAGAACCTGACATCATCACAAATTTCATTGCGGGCCGCTTTCAAAGTAAAAGCGTTTCGGTTCACCCTCGTAGAACATCTATTCTCTCAGGTCTTCCCTAACTCTCTTCAGCTTCCATTCTGAATATGTCACGCTGCTACATACATGAATGTTATCAGCTTTGGATGTTGCATCAGATGAGTGGTAATTGCAGCTTGCTTACAGAAAGTGCAATGGAAAATACAACTACAAGTCTTAGCCTTCTTTGAACCAATTTAACCATACGATAAAATCGAAAAGGCAAGAATTTCACAAAGAAATGCTAGATATTGAAGAGCTCATGCTAG